AATTTATAATGTCTAATATTTCAGAAAAATCTTTTTTTGATAACTCTGAAATGTCCTAATTCTCTAAGTATTTAGGAACTTCGAGAATATTTTCCTCATAAAATTTCTTAATTTATTAACAAACTCTAACTTTAAACATATTATAATCCAATTTTCCAATAAGGTACAAATTACTCATTTATCTAACTCTACTCAAAGCAGTGTAGAGTAATCCTGATTATTATCTTTCAGGCATATCTAAATCTAAAATAACATTGTCAAAGGTGGAACCTTGTGCACAATGTATAGTTCTTGCATATCCTAAATTAATTGGAAATTAGGATATTTAGATTTTACATACATTTGGTAACTTTTAAATCATAAATTTCATATGAGTTATACTTCTCTCCAAATATTATTGACAAAAGTGTCCATTTAAAATATCAACTCCAAATAAATCTAAAAGTTCATTTTCAATAAGCCATTCTTTAATTTTCTAGACTTATTAATTTTATGGAATATTTCTTTTTGTAATTAATGACATTTATTTTTAAGTAGTTATTAAAGAGTCAAGTATTTCTTCTAAACATCTTATAAACTCTCCTTTTTAAATATTGACAGAATTTGAAAAATTACTATCTCCAATTTCCAAATTGGCAAAATTTGCATCTGCTAATTTTAAATTGATTTTTTGGAGTCTTGGTTCTATATCACTAAGATAAATAAATCCTTTTTCACTTTAATGAACATCTTGTTCACATAAATAATTAATATTCATCAAATGTTTAAGTTCCATCTACTTTACAATTTCTTCTCGATCTTATTATGTGAAACGTACAGTAGTTGTAGGTTTAATTTCTTTAATTAAATTAAAATAATTTTTTTCTTAAATATAATTATATTGATCTTTTTCTGCTTGTCTCATATTATAAGGACTCATAAAGTCAACATCAAAAATTAAATCCTTAATAGTAGCAAATTGTCCATTTATAAGATTTTATTGCTTATCAATATTTTTCCTTAATGTAATTTCCTCTTTTTCAAATAAAGTTAATTCTTTAAGAAAAACTGTGTTGTTGATATCCTTTTATTTCACAGCAATTCTATAAGTAGTTGAACCCATTTATTTTG